GAAAAAAATCATGAAATAACGCGCATGCACGTGTGCTGCAATCTGATTGGCTGACACTTTAAATGGCTATTTCTCCTTTGTTTTTTGACGAAATTCTTTGAAATTTAAAATATAGTCATGCATTAGGATATCCTAAAAAATGACATAAAAAAATCATGAAATTACGCGCACGCACGTGTGTTGCAATCTGATTGGCTGAAACTTTAAATGGCTATAACTCTCTTGTTTTTCAACCAAACAGGATGGTATTTAGAACATAGATAAATGTAAGGGACTCCTCAAAGAAGGTATGATCATCGTGCACGTGCACACACGTGCGTGCATTTGAAACGAGTATATTTAAAAATACTCTAGAATTTTTTTTTATTACTTTTGGACTGAATGCTTTAATATATAGTATATTAAAATATATAAATAGTGTAGACAAGATGATATGGTCATAACGCACATGCATTCACATGCGCTTGGGTGCAATGCTAAAAATTGAATATAATTGGTAGCCTTCTGGGAAAACGTTGTTAAAGTCAAAAATGCACAGAGTTTATGTTATTTAATGAAGCTTACAGGGAATATGGCACCGAAAGGGAGTTGGGGAGCGTTTGGGGAACATTTGTAACGGTTCCCGTTACAATTAGCACTAGTTACATGTGCTCATGAGCATGCCTGCTACGATTCAAGAAAAATATCAGTATCTTATTACTTAATTTATTAATAGATAATATTAAGCTTTTCAACTAATTTGTCGAATTGCATACAGTATATGGTAAAACATTTATAGATTGATGAATACCGGTAGGTACAAAATAAAGATTATAACTTATGTATTTCCTTTAGTTAAATCATTGGAATGTTTAATTATTAATAATTGACTTGTAACGTGTTGTATTTTCAGGACAGGTAACTCAACTCAGAAAAATGACCAACATTGTGCCGATTTCTGAGTTATCATTGATACGAATCATACATAGGCTGCTTCATTTTGTTTTATAATGTATACAAAAGAGTTCCTTACATTGTTTTGTACACAAATATGTTAACCAAAATGAGGAATTTGTTTTCATTCGCCTTGAAATAACAGGATCAATTAATGAGGAACAGACATTATTCAAGATTTTTTACTCTCTTCGACGATTGTAACGAAGAAGACAATATAATGTGACTTATGTCAAACTTTTAGAATGCGCATTTTCGCTTCCTATATGAATGTATATTTTTCAACTAGTAAATGCAACAATTAATTACCTTATTTGTATTACATGTACTTAGCACGAAGAAGAACGACCGAGAATAAAAAATAATCAGATTCAAATATAGAAAGGGGTAGATTTCACTTTATATTTTAATTAATAATTTTACTTATGTGTAATTGAACAGTGTCGTCAGGTACATGGTAAATAAGTTTTACATTAGAGCTAAATTTTAAAACCAATGGATTTTACTGACATCAAAGAAAGACATGGTAAACGCTAAAAACTGACTTGATGAATAACAATTAGAATACCCCAGACCTGCTCTAAACAAGTTTTGAGTATGAGTTATCGTTCATAACATTGAATCCTAGCCGCAGACTGGTATTCCCTTTCTTTCGCATATCAGACAGGCAGGCCAGTCTATCCTAGAGGCAGTTTAAATGCCTATTAATATTTTTGGTAACAATACCCACCATGCAATTTAAACTTAAACATATTTTCCTGCCCCCATACAATACAATATCAACATGATTTTAAGGTATAGAATGATAACATATATAACATTATTTCAAGAGATATTCCTCGTACATATTATCTTTTTTTTAATAATGATAATTATAAAAGCTATTTTGATACAGGTCAAGAGTCATGAAGAGCAAAATTTGTTCTTCTGATTTTTGTCCTTTTAACAATCGTTAGCGTTTCCTCCACATGTTGATAATTAAATAAAAATTTCATCAACAATTTAGGGATCTTTTACACAATTTAATTGATAGAATTCAAAATATATTTTATTTGTTTTCTCATTTTTTAGTTACCAAACAAAAACACCATGAGAAAGAATAGGCCTATAAAAGTATTATATTATGTTGAAAGTCATTAAATTAAAATGTGCTTTTTAATAAATGCATTTTCCTTTTACAAAGTTGTAAAATTTTGCCCGAAAGACTTTAAAACTGACCACACACAAATCTATGTGATTTACAGTACTGTTATATATTTCATTATTTGTACTCATAAAGAAGCCTTATTGGTAAATGTAAAGAAAATAATAATTAAATTATCAACTTGAAAACACGCGAAAAGAACAGAAGATTCGTCAATGCTGAAATAAAATCATGAAAAGAATATGATCAAATTTAGTTTAAGGTGGTCATTATCATTGAGAAACTTTAATGCTAAGAATTCCTGTCTTATGTCATTATAAACATTTACAATCAACAAATATACTGTAGACGTCTTTAATTTCACGTGTCTAAAATTTCACGGTTTGTTAGAAAGTTAACCTTTACGGTGGTTTTAATTTCACGGAGAATCGTTAAATTTTCAGGTACTATGACTGTTTCTAGGTAGACATGACATTAAATAAAAATCACGATGGTTTAAAGTTCGCGGAAAATTCTTAAATCGTGAACATAGTGAAATTAAAAACACCGTAATGTTTTCCACTTCTACAGTATCATACGTAAATTTAAATAGAATAATTACAGGAAAAGAAAATGCATGCTCTATATCCTCAAAACTGCACATTACATGAACCTCGCCTAATACTGTGAAATCACTATTTTTTTTAGGGGTGGGTGGGTAATTTTTGTTGTTACATGGCATGGAGGGACCCACGAAGTCATTATCACTAGGAAATGCATAAATTCACATGCATTACTACTATACATTCTCTAACAACGAAATCAAATCCCCGCATCCCCCCCGCCCACTTAGAAAATCTTACAACAAAAATCTATGTGATTTACTGTTATTTATTTCAATATTTGTACTCATAAAGAAGCCTTATTGGTAAATGTAAAGAAAATAATGATAAAAATATCAACTTGAAAACACGCAAAAAGAACAGAAGATTCGTCAATGCTGAAATAAAATCATGAAAAGAATATGATCAAATTTAGTTTACATTTATAACATTGTCGCCTTCCTATTTATAGTGGTGAGACATAAAACACTGATAGTCATCGTAGCTATCACAACATACATATACAAGGTGAAGAGTAGCTTGGATAGGAAAATTGGCATTTATATAAAGACATGAAAATAAGGAAAGTTGGATTTTATTTTTATACATTAAGCACAACGGCAATGTATGAAAAACAATTATACCTTTCTTTTTCCACTGGTCAAGTCGACTGGTAAAATAGTGTAGTAATGTGGTGTTTGTTGTCAACTAAATATCTGTTTTGGAATTCCAGTTGTACTCCTTAAATTTTTGTTTACTTTTGATGAAATTGACTGGATAAATTTATTTTATATGGAATAGAACCGAACAAAATAAGAAGAGATTCAACAACTAATGTTTGTAATACATGTATCATCGTTTATCAGAAATAGATATTGGAATATACTTGTATTTCGTGGCATTAATTAAAAAAAAGATCTTACATAATATGTACTCTCACTTACATGGACAGAAAGGTGGAAAAAATTATTTTTTTTTGCTAACTGCATACTACTTGTATTATTTTCTGTTCAGTTAACATTCCAAAGGAAGTACTAGAATGGGACTATGATGCTCGATCTAGATACGCAGCATGCGCGAAGAAAGGAACTCAAACAATGCATAGAGCTCGTGCAATGATTGTTGGTTGTGCGGGAGCTGGAAAAACTACACTTCTTAGGCGACTACAGCGACGAAGTATTCAAGAGTTACGACAAATACAGTCGACCGTAGGGCTGGAGGTGTATGAAAACTTATTTGAAATTGACAGGGATCGTAAATGTTTAAAAGGTTTGTAAAACTTTTTTAAAAAGATTGTGATCAAAATATGATTCATGTATTTTGTATGAAATCATGTGCTTCAAATGCTAATTTTTAGGTCTGGAGGAAGATGTTGATACAGAAAATAAGCGCCTACTAAGTGTTGTAGATTTTGCTGGCCAGTGTGCGTATTACGCCTGTCATCAAGTCTATCTCAGTAGAAGAGCTTTTTATCTTCTTGTGATCGATATGTCAAAAAGGTTTGATGAAAAAGTTGATCGAACATTGTGTGAACAGGAAGGAACCATGTTTGCAGACTGGACATTTGGACGTAAGTGTTTTTGTACATGTCATTGTTTGCGTACAATTAAGTAATATTTTGTAGGCCAAAGATTTCAGTTAATGTTTTGAAATCACTATAAGTCATTATAAGTCATGTAAACAAAATTATTTTAAAAAAGTGAAAACGAAAATCGTAATTAAGGTTACATTGTATCTTTAAGTTGAATATTTACATTTGTCTGATTGTCAGTGACCAGTTCATTTTGATTAGAGATGGACCGGGTAATCTCTACACATCCAATCAGGATCAGACAATATATTTGTAACAAGAAGTGAAAGATTGTAAATAAATCTCCACAAAATTTGCATACATTTTTATTGTATGCCATCGAATGTCGCTCGAGTTTGATATAAGTAATAATTTTATATTCACAATCAAACAAACCTTTGTTAGCATTTTTAAAACTTATTCAAAGTAAAGATCTACAGTTCTCTTATTTCCAGTATATACTACTGTATATCACTAATTTTTGCGCGACACCTTACGAGGGGCGTTCAATAAATAATGTCATCAGCTCGATGACATACAACATAGAAATCATATGACATTAAGCTTGACTCTCTCTTATTATTGAATCTTTAATGAATTGATAACAGTTTATGTGACCACTTTTCATCGCAAAATTTCATTGTGGGAAGCTGGAAAAGAAGGACTACTCTAGACACTGTACTAAAAATGAATGGTCAAGAATCGGTAAACTAGAGTAAAATTAAACGCATCATTAAAGCTGCTGTAAAACTTGTTAATTTCCCAAAAATCTATTAACTGAAATATATGAAATTTACAGCAACTTATGTCTATTTCATACACGCATGAACAGGTGGATTTCAATTAACAAAAATTATATAATTGGCATAACAAAATGGGTACCTTCCTTGTCAACAAGTACATTCAACAACCAATGCATATTAGCGATAATTCAACTAATTATCACTGATTATGTTTTAATGACTTTAAGTTACATAGCAAATTTGATAGACATCATTTTGGGGGTAGTTCACACTGCTTTAAAAAAATATTTGATTGTAAAAAAGTTAAAAACTCAAAAGTCACCCGATATTATTAAAAATGAGCGAAAACGAGAGCGTGTAGAAAATCTAAATAATTATGTTTAAAAAAAAAATCAAAAAAATGTTCTTATCCAGGTTTTTATGAAATTCAAACAGCTCTTGAATCTTGAATCCATTTTGAGTTAATCTCTCAAAACAAATTTAGAATAATATGTACTTTACAAAACTGCAAAGGCCTAAGATGGGCAAAAATTTGCAAGAACACATAAACAGTTTCATACGCTTTTTTCGTAAATATTAGCGGTATTGTTGTTCAAATTTATATATAGGTTCAATTTCTGGAGGAGTCTAGTAAGCAAAATATTTGCCAAAACATTGAAAGGTTTATTAGAGGAAGGAAACAGAATGAGGAATTCATAACATTAAATTTCTTCCTGACAGCGTCCAAACCCACAGGCAATGAAGAGTAAAGGAGTTTTGGGGTAAACAGAAATGTTTTGTAACATCAACAATATTCGCCAGATCTTTCAATCTTTGACTTGTTTCATTTCCCAAACTTAGGAAAAAACCTTTCAAAGAGAGAAAACAAGTACAGCAAATCATAGGATCTGCCATTTCCCAGTATACGAAAGTTCATACTCAAAACTGTGATCTAAAAACAATTAGAATTTGAATAAAAATGTTACGGACATGTGTTTTAATTAAAAGAGAATATTTAACTTAAATCATTAAGACAAAATCATGGAAAAACGTTTTTGGTTTTTTCCGAGCCCTGATGACATTATTTATTGAACGCCCCTCGTATTTTTGCGAGATAGTTAATAACTCTTGATAAGCGAGACAAAATTTTCACGAATTGTGGTTATAGCTTTATATAATATTAAGGAATGCTATTATACGCGAGAATCAAATTTTTGCAATCACACTGTCTCGCGTAATTACTCGAAAATAAAGTTCTCGCGAATCAAAAGTGATTAACAGTATATAAAGAATACAGTGTTTGTATACGTACAAACACTATTCGGACAATTAATATATGCTGGCTAATAACTTTTCCGATTAAAAAGCGGATATGTTAATTCATGTTCATTCATGTCTTTTGAAGAAAAGTGGGAAGAAACATTATTTTTAGATATCGTACACACAGGATAAATAGTATATCAATCTTCTTCGTTCAGTAAGAATTTTTTTTTTTGCAATGTGGTTAAAACAAATACAGTTAAATTAAACAGTCACGTAAGAAAACATTTCACATATTTGTCAATTTAGGGGGAAAATACTTTTGTATTAGGTTTGAATGACGATTGTCACAAAAAAGAACTTTATATGGACAGGGTATTCATTATTTATGGTCACCCGCACAGTAGTTTGGGCGTCTGCTCTAGAGTCGCGAAATAAGGACTTCAGTGTTAGACGCGGAGACTGGTCCTTCGAATGAGACCATATATATTGGGATCCGATGTCACATTAGGTGTTTGCTAGAAAAACGATCTATAACTGCTCAAGGAGCGTAAGTGCCAAGTATAGGATAGAATTTGCAGCTCTCCACCGGCGCGGGTGACGTGTCCATCTGATTTAATAATCCTCGAAAGTGAGGTTAAACAACATACAAACAAAAAAAAAATAATTATTTATGACGAGTTCAAAATGAAGTTCATTATGTATTTATCTTCCATTAATTGATTATCAAATATTTTTTTTATTTAGAATATGTCATTTTTTGGTTGAAATCTATCCATACCTACTGCGAGGATGACACCCCAGTTGTTACCATAGCAACCCATTCTGATGAAGTGCAAAATATGGTACTTGTCAATGATAAAATGTTTTAAAATAAATACAGAAAATTGATTGTGAAAAGCATAATTAACTGAATGGACATATATCTTTTCATAGGTTTACAGATCAATTTATGCCGAAATTTTAGAGCTTTTAAGATGTGTTCAGTATCAAAATAATTGTTTGATTTCTTAGTAGTGTAGCGGCTTAGATCAACATTTCAGCCAAATAATTCACTTGTGGATACAAGCATGAAATTTGGCACAAATATCTATCTGATACTATTAAATCTTAAAACATCGCGATTTCCGTCATTTTCAAGATGGCCGCCATTAAAACAAAATGGCGACATTTTCATGCAGTTTTGCCTCACATACATTCTTTTACAATCAAATTAATTATACTTTGACCGCTTAAAGATATCTTAAAAGTTTAAAAAGAATTTAAAAATCATATTCCAACTTGAACGCTATGAATATAAAGACAAAATGATTTTCTTATAACGCATTATATCGTTCCCTATAGTAGAATTTAAATATATTATCACAAGAAGCCTTTTTTTTAAAAACATGTAGCAGATGTTTTACAAAAGTCAGGCAGGCGTTCCCTCACTATCCAGTGGGACTGAATACTAAGTAAATTTTTGTATTTGAAAGCTCTCAATAAGTTAAATAATCCCCCAAGGAACGTAAAACATCCTCCAAAGCACGTAAAATCTCAAGAAATGAAATAATCCTTCAGAGAACGTAAAATCTCATTGAGGGAAATATTCTTTCAAGCAACGTTTAATTTTAATGATTGAAATAATCAATAAAGGAACGTTAAAGTTAATGAATCAATTCTGTATTTATGACATAAAACAACAAGTAATCATTCGCTATCCACAATGAAGAATGCCTTGGACTGTGAAGACAGCACCTTCCTTTTTAAATCAAGACAAAGCCTGTGATGGCTTGTTACCAACCTTTATTTGTTCTTGCCAAAAGATACGATGAGAATGACCGGAAATTTATGGTGAAGATAGATTAATTGTTAATATGTTTGTTGGGTTGCATATTGAAACGGTAGCTATCAAACTGCTTGGTGATTTGATGAAAGGAAACGACTGGATGATAGCATTAATTCAAGCAGACAGAAGTTGCATATTCTGGAACTGCTGAGTCTTTCCTAACAGTTTCTAGTCTTGCTAAAACAAGGCAAGATCATGTCATTACTGCCTGCTGTCTGTATAACTTGATAAAAAGGCAGACCAAAATGCATAGGAACTCGATAATTGCAATGAAATTGAAAAAAGATGACCTTTTTTCACAATTTAAATTTTGGATTTTAAATTTTGGTCAAGAATTCTATTGGAACTCGTTGTCTTCTCTTTTGTAAAGTCTTTAGAGAATCAGATTTTAGGCTTTATCTTTATCAAATCTGATTCCAAATTCTCATCAATTCATATCTTGGTCACATCAAATATGCTCAATGGCTACAATTTCACCTTTCGGTGCGAACAAAGTACCCGGACATATACTAGTACTTAAAATTTGAAAAAAAGGAATCTTTACTTGGAAAGAATAATAATTTTCAAACATTGCAATTCGTCAAATCCATGAGCAGAATGCTATTGTAAAAGATGATGGATAACGGAAGATCCAGCTGCATTAAGGGTGGTAGCTGGTCCAGAAATCAGCATACTTACTAAAGAGTTCACATGAATATGTGGAAATGTTCACGAGAAGAAGGAAAACATCACGAAGAAATTTCATGCTGCTCAAGGAAGTTTTTTTTAAAGTAAATCGGGCTATGCCTATGGTTTTGGAAATGGGAAATCCACTTGAGGAAGAGTTGTTGGATCTTAATAGTTGTTGTCGAAACCAAAACTGCAGCTGAAATATTTAAAAAGGGTAACATCTGGAAAAAAAACAATATAGGAAATTCCTTTTAAGAGATGTGAAGGTGATAATCCAGGTTTTATGAATTTGTTCAGAAGAATAAATTTCGCCTATTTAATCCCAAACAAAAATATGATTCTTCAAAGTCAAAGTTGGCAAATTTGGAAGATGACTGTACCCGTTTTTCTAGGTTATTTATTTTCTGTCAGAGTAGGCAATGCGATGTACAAGATTTTTTTTAACATTAAAACCAAGACGACCCCACTTTCTCTCTCTTTCACAAAATGGTTTCTTTATACACATGTACGGTGTCAAATCTCAATCGATGCCTATTTGGAAGCAGGTCAAGAGTTGCCAAATAATGTATTGACAGTCGATTCACTGGTAATTGACAGTACGCCATTAGTAAATTCAAAACAACCTGAAATTTTACTACCGTTAGGAAGCATATTAAGCGAGGACTTAATTTTGGCATTATTAGTAAGGATGCCGAGATCGCTAAAATTAACTATCGCTAAAAAATAATTGCAATTTATTTGTAATAACTTATTTAACATGCATTTTAAAATCGCTAATATCACGCATTCTCAATTTATAGTCACAAATCGATCTTGGGAAAAGTCAAAAAAATTAGTGAACTGAAATTAACACTTTTATACGTCATTTGAAACATGAAAGTGTATAGTTATTAAAAATCGCAATTTGATTTACATACTTCATGCATTGTTTTGTTGGCCTCCTTTGAAATAAAAGCGGTTGGAGGGCTAATTTTACACCAAGATATTTACGTGATGTTGAAAAGCCATATTTGGAAACGAAAGACTTTTTTTAAAATACAAAATTAATGTAATACACATCAAATTTTGTTTACTATAAACATTTATGAAACGTTTAAGCACATTTGTAAAAGGGGTGTACAATCTTTGATTCAATTATTAGTAAAAATAAAACGGACATAATTTTCATTTAAATGAAATTATTTTCTTTTTATTTTAACAAGTTTAAGCACATTCGATGATAAGCTTAATAATGATAATATTCCCTAAAATGCTACATTTATTGATTCTTTATTAATCTGCTCAGAGAAACGCACATTATTTAGAATATAAAAAGGTTGAATATT